TTGAGGGGGAGGGGTTTACGGCAATGTGTTAGTGGGCTTCTGGTGGGTGTGAGGTGGTAATGCTGTTGAAAGGTTTAATGATGTCCTATTTCCAATATTATGTATCTGCATTCTGCATCATGCTCAAGTACATCTTGTATTTACAACAGCTCTGACTAAGTGTTTGTTTGTGGATGTGAGCTAAGTTCACATTTAGCTGGTTTGCACAACCTGAAGAGATATGACAATTATTTTGAGGAAAATTTCACATCCTGTTATTCATTGACAGAACTGATCATCAAATTCAGCAGTTCTCTTTTTACATTTTTTTGCTTCTGCCCAAGAAAGGGTATTTATTTACAGCACCAAATAATAAATTATCTGTGAGGTATTGAGCTTAAACTTATTTTAGATCAGACCCTTTCTTTCAGAACATGCAACACAACTCCTTGCTCAAGCTCTTGTTCTATCCAGGCTGGACTATTGCAATGCTCTCTTGGCAGGTCTTCCAGACTTGTCATTTGCACTTATATATTGTTGCTCTTTTGTTAGTTTTGACTGCTTTTATTGACCTCATTTGTAAGTCGCTTTGGATAAAAGCATCTGTTAAATGACTAAATAAAAAAAATGTAAAAAAATAAAACTTTATAGACACATTCTGGCGACACCTGAGACTTATTTTACATCTTGTCAAAAGGGCAATAATAGGACCCTTTTAAAATAAAATGTGAATGGGCTTAGGGTGGGAGTGACGATGGATGGTGGTGATCCATCCATCTATTCTCCAGACTGCTTGTCCTCCATAGGGTCGCAGGACACCCCAGACAGATGGCCAGTCCATCACAGGTGAGCTAAATTTGACAGGGATAAGTATTCTCAGGTGAGCATACAGTAATCTCTTTTGTCAGGTAAAATTTATATGCAAAATTTAATTTTACTCAGGCGCAGAATTAGTCTTGTGATGCCCTAGTTCACAAGAGAGGATCGAAGATCGTTTGTTCACTGGGAATGAGAGTAGGACATATATTATTCCTGTTGGAATAAGGTCTTTGAACCTGAATGGACCTCTAACTCCCTCTTGTGGTGTAAATGTTTTCTACTTTATTATAAGTGAGTGCGTCTACTCAATGAGGAACGCATACATTTTCACTGTAACTGTTTACTTTATTCGAAGTAGGCTACTGTACTTTTGATATTATTACAATCAGGATGGACTATTTTCTAAATGACTCTCATTTCCAGCATTTTATTCAACTAGTAGGGCTACTATAATACTAAATATGTAAAAATACTAAATGTAAACATATTAGCCTACTTCTAGGGCTTGATTCAGGCATTACAGATTTTGATTCTAAATTCCTGGCAGCATGTGCAGTTTACTCCACTGATCTAGCCTATATATTGTCGTTTCAATACAGATACAGGCCAGTGTAGCCGATAACGATACTCCTTAACTGATCTTTTAGATTATATTAAGTCAAAGACTATAGAATACCTTAACATGACTTTGGTTAAGTGGGTAGCAGTACCTACTTTATTTTTTTTAATATTTGAAAACCGTGTCTTTATAATATTAAACACTAACTGCAAAATATTGTTTTTGATACCTGCATCTGTTAACTCTGGACGAAGGCAAATGGGCTCGTTTTTATTCCTTTTGGGCGGGTTTTGAGGCGGCTTTGGGCTGGATTTTACTAGGACCTGGCAACCCGATACTGATGACTTCCTGCTTGAAAAAGTTAAACAAACTGCACCGTGTGTACATTCAAACAGTGTTAACAGTGTTCTGAGTGACACTATGATGATATATTGGACCAAACAAAAAGCGCTTCAACTTGCACTACTCTTTAGAAAACAATGTATAACGTTACCTTTTTACTGAAACAAACTTCTTGACGGTTACGGTAGGTCTTGGCTCGTTTTGTTCCCGCTTGATATTGTTTTGATTTCCCTGACAACTGAACGACGCCATCGGTGGAGATAGAGATGAGCCTGCCACAGGTGAGTTTGCTAACAGTCATGCTAAAACCCTGTCAACGATATTATTGATCATTTAAGGATTTCATGTCAGGACTCCAGTTAGTTAGTTAAATTACTTACTTGCTACTACTACTGTTTATTAGTGTCTTTAGACGTAAGCGTGACGTCAGTCAGTTCTTAAAAAAGGCCTGATTTTAAAACAAACGCAGATACCCTGTTAATAAATCAGCTATGATTATTATTTTCAAATTCATTGCAGATATTCACTGCAGTGAGACTACACCCGCCAAATTCAGTTTCAAGCAAAAGCAAGACTGTGAAACACAAATATGAAGATGCGAATGGTGTTGCCAGCGGGTCATTTCGAGAGGCTGAAGATATGTATAGGAGACGTATAATTGTGCCAACAACACGTGATGGAAGTCGGGATCTAAGACAAGAGGAGAGACCAGCTCAAAGTAACTCTTTAGTAGTTGAACCAGTTAAGGTTGATGGCATTGTTATGGATTACATTGAAAAAATGAAATCCAAGGAACTTGACATAATTAAAAAAAGGAATGCAGTTATCATGAAGCGAGATGATAGATATGTGACCTTTATGTCTCCGTCTGGTACGAGTGTTCACGCTCAGTTTGCAAGAGAACAATTTATAACATTGTATCAAAAGATTGCAACGGGGCTGCAAACTAGGACATACGATTGCAGTCAAGGGATTATTGCGCATTGCCAAGCAGAATTTCCAGAACTCCTAATCACTCATAAAGATGAAAGGCGATTGCAACTGACTGGCAACTTCATTAGCCTTGAAAGATTTGAGACATTTTCGAATGGGAGTGCACAGACATATTCACACTACCAAACCCCAAATAAAACAAAAGTCAATGACACACCTTACAAGCAGCCTGTGAAACAACAGAAATCAATAGACCAAGCCAAAGATGAGGCGTGTCCAATTTGTTTGGAAACACTCAAGATATCTGAATGCACAGTCTTGTCTAAATGTAAACATAGATTTTGTAAAGACTGTTTGGAGAGAGCTTTCCATGTGAAGCCAACTTGTCCGATATGCGGAGAGATATACGGCAATCTTACAGGGACGCAACCAAAAGGAGGAACCATGACTGTCTCATCGGACAGGTCCTCTCTACCAGGATATGAAAGATATGGTACAATCATAATTAGCTACCATATACCAAGTGGATATCAGGGGGTGAGTACAAATGCAATGAAGTGTTAGACATTCTTCTGCTTTAAGCTGTTCGTTATGACATCAATCAGTTACAAGGTTGAAATGTTGTTTTCGATTACCTTACTCTGCAGGATGAACACCCAAACCCAGGCATGCCGTACCAGGGTGCGACCCGCATAGCTTACCTCCCTTACTCAACAGAGGGGAATAAGGTACTGAAGCTTCTGCAGAGGGCATTCGACCAGCGACTCACTTTCACCATTGGACGCTCATCTACTACTGGACAGAACAATGTGGTAACCTGGAATGACATTCATCATAAGACGTCTCGTTATGGAGGGCCAACCTGGTGAGTACACAGTTAGGGTGTTGTCATCATTTTTGGGTGGTTGCCGCATTTGAGACAAGCCCTTTTATTTTTAGCACTGTTTAATTTACAATAGCTATTATAAGGGTCATAATTATGTTTTCTTCTTTGTAGCTATGGTTACCCAGATCCAGACTACCTGAAACGAGTACAAGATGAACTGAAAGCAAAAGGAATCGACTAACTACCTTGTAATCAGTTCAGACACTATTATTACAACCAGTAGTCATATTAAAACAAGGACAAGAATAAAGTAATATTGCAGTCTTGTGATCACTAATCAAGGTAAAGCACTTTTCTTTCTTTTTTTACAGGCATTTTTAATGTTTAACAGTTTTGAATGTATGAATCTCATGAAGCAGTATAAGAGAAACAGAGTTAAGGGCCATTCAGTGCATTTTTGCATTCCACTGCACTACCTTTTCATTGTTTTAACAAGATGTTTGACCATTGCTTTAATGTCTTTTGCAGCATCACATGTGTGACAGCATTTTCAAAATGCCCCTAAGAAAATCTACTATTATGATGTTATGTATGCAGTATACCTTGTTTGTTTTACTTTAAAAATAATCATTGCTATATTATATTGTGATTAGATTTTTTAAATGGATGAACATGCAGTAAAATTAAGTGTCATGTAGTGTATAGAAAGTTATAGAGCCTCGGCAGCAAAAAGCTCATGACCAGTGTTCATGAGAAACTTTAATCAAACCAAGAGCAGGTCATTTTAGTAACACTAAACCATTCCCATTGGTATCAGGCTTTTTAATATTAACTTTTTTTTTTTCTGGTTCATTTATTGTTTACCTTTGTTTTGATTTTGGTGGATTGTAGTATTAAAACTAGGATGAAAGATGCAAAAGTGTACATGAACTTAATTAATTAAATTCAAATGCTTCATCAAATATTGTTTTTCCCCTCGCATAAAGATGCTACATTGCAGAAAGATTTACTGGTATTTAGGCATCATATACAAATAATAATAATAATCGATGACTTACCTGGCCCAAGTGTCCTGGCTTTTGGCCAACTTGAGTCAATGATTAGCCTGTTCTAGCACTGATTTACAGAGGTACAGCTAAATTAGTAACATAAAATGTTATGAGAAAAACAGCTATAGGAACACTGGAATAATTTGTATTTGTGCTTTAGAGGACAGACTCTTGAAATGAAATGGCTTATCTATTCTACAACTTTATACAAAATCGCCATGCACTGCTTTTCCCCTCATAAACATATTTTGACTACATCTTAATGCTGTCAGCAGCCATTTTGAAGTTGTTTGTTGTGGACTGGCCAGGTGTTTCATGGTTGTAACAAAAAGGAACGGCTCTTGCGTTTGGAAAATGGCTCCGGATCAAAGGTGAGTGAGGCTAGTAAGGCTGCAGACTTGTGTGCTTGAACTGGTGTTCTGCAGTATTTAGGGTTTTACATGTGATTTCATTTAGAAAGAAAAAAAGACAAAAATGTCAGAATTATTGGCAAATCTGAATTTAATGAACATAAACAGATACATAAGCTACTATTTCCATAACTTGTAAAAAGCCAAAAAGCTTCATCCGTTCGCAAAATTAGGAAAAAGTAAAAACGTACTACAGAAAATATTTGGCCTCCCATGTTGCTGTGGCATTATTTACACTATATACAGTATTTTCATATATGACAGTACTGTCAGGTTTGCCATTAAATCCTTATCGATAAGGCACCAAATGCTAAGTAGCATGATCCTTTTTAACCAAATTGTGCGGAAAATGTACAAAACTATACAAATAGACCTATCACATATGAACATGGTCCATCACAATGAAAAAATATAAACACAAAAATAAGTTGCTGTTAGATGTTTTGCAACAGTTATGAGTGTACATGCATGTAAGAACTACCCCATCTTAACCCTTGAAAGATATTTAAACAATATTTATTAACTGATTAGATTGTGGATTTGAAAGAATAATCAATAAAATTAATCTGATTTACATCGTTTTTTAGTAATGGCAAACTTGACAATGCGTAATGATTATATAAACTTTCACTTTACATTTAATGTAATATTAAGCTGTTGCCATTCAATTGAAACTATAATGGAGTCAATGGAATATATTGCAAGTGAACATCATATGAATTTACCAGTATTTCAGAGCCCCATGGGAAATACAAAATACTTTTCAGCACACAAAATAATCAATACCACATATTTAATGTGCCCATATTTTAATAAAACCCATAATTCTGCCCATAATTGTGGTGCTACATCTTGACTTTATGTAAAAGTTGCATTTCCTCGTATAGTATTTTTAATACAATTTAATAAATTTTTACCAAATGCGTTACCTTTCCTTATACCAATATTGGGTGATCGTTCTCAAAAAAAGATTTAGTGATTTCAATGATCGAACAATTTAATGTTTCGAAAGTAAAGTTAACCACAGAGGTGTCTAAACATCACTATAAAGAATTGCAAAAATTGAACAGAATACTCACATTTAAACCTTCTGTTAATACATTACAATGTATAAACAACAAGCAGCAAACACTTATTCTGCCTTAAAATCACCTTACAAAAAAGTTTTATATTGAAATATTCAAAGACATTTTACAATTGGGTGCCGATTTTTGTCCATTATTAACAAAAATCTGAAAACGTAAGGAAAGCAGCATGCATCTTATGTTTAGTTGTCGCTGCTGAATATATAAAGTCTTTTCCTTTTTTTGTATTTTTAATCTTAATTTTTTTTTTTCATACTTGGTTTCATGAGTGACTATCACTCATAAATGAAAACGTTACAGCAATACTGTACGTTTAAAATGACGATGTTAATGAAGTGGCAGGTTCAGTACATCTGGGCAAATTCTAAACTGAGGCCTTTAGAAATTGTAAACCGACAGCTACTTTTAAGTAGCAGAAAATATTAGCTGTAGCACAGGGATTTTGTTTTTAAACTACACTTGTCAAAGCTCTCCATCAGCTGTAAATGCAGTCAACATCAGGAGTTGCTCACTTGTGTTCAGCACTGTCAAACAATAAATACGTCTGTCTTTCAAAGGCATTTAAGATTATATGGAAGTTTGAAACAACTATCATACATTAAGAAAAATAAAGTGCATATACAGTAGACACCATTTGTATGCACAAATTAATGTACTTTAACAAGTACAACTCTTAGTAAACAAGGTCAGATGGCGCATATCCTCACAGGAATATTGTATTTTCTCCAGGAAAGTCTGAAAATACTGTATTCTTCAAAGTGTTTCATTTTTTGTATTTACAAAAAATAAGTAGTCTATCAGTTGAACTGAGAGACATACCATGCTCTTTCAAAATCTACCTTGTATTTATAAACTTAGCAAAATGGTAATAGTTTGAATAGCCAGTGTAAATATGCATGTATCCCAGGGGAACAGTAGAAATAGTATATTCTGAAGATTGCGAATATGCTTCTTGTTTTTTTGTGTGTGTATTTGTGGTTACCAAAAATAAAAGTGGTATTGGCCTCCTACGCTCAAACGTCCAGCTTTGGGAAAGAGGTCAAGGCAGCAGTATTGTGTTCAAACTGTTTCATCCAGTAGCCGTTTGATTGCCGATGACTCGCAGGATCTCCCTATGAATGCCAGGGTCCTGTGCGTTTATACTTGTGTCACCTACCTGTCCATCCTCATAACTAGTTCGCAAAAAAAAAAAAAAAAAAAAAACTTTCAGTTCAATTTAGGTTCAGTACTTCTGCTATTAACACATTCTGCTTTTTATGTTCTGATGGAATGAATGCATTCAATATGTGAGATACACACTCAATATTTAATTTTACAGATATATGCTGAGATAGACATAAATGTACTTACACAAAGAAAAAACGTGTGCAGACATGATCTGTATTTGGAACTACCCAGATGTCCCCATGCTTGTGCAGGTCTGGAGATGTAATAACTGTTACATATATATAAAAAAAAGTGATTATTAACATGATAAAAATTGCAGATGATGGTATAAATCTTTGTTAAACGTGTACCTTCACATAAGGCTATGCATTTCAGGTTGCGGCTCTGCAGAAACTGCGGGTTCTGGCCTTTCTTCTGTGACTGAAAGCAAAAAAAGTCCTGCAGGTTTCAGGATGCCAATTTTCTTTCTTTCTTTTTTTTTTTTTAAAGAAAGGCATTCTAATAATGACCGTGTCAGGTGATTGGGAAAAAAGTAGTAATACCAAAAAAAAACGAAATACCTGCAAATTAATATTGGACTTGTTGGCAGCAGTTTCATCTTTTGAAGCAACTTTCTGCTGTTTTTTATTCATCCCTGTTCCACAAAAAGCCACAGTTATGTCAAGCAATTATACATTTATTGCATATATTTATGTAGAAAGTAGAGGAGTTTTGCTCATAAAGGTTTTAAGACCTGAGTAGCCAAAGGATATGCTTGATAATGGACTGAGATAGATTCCACTCCCATAGATAGCGCCATGGAGCTGCGAACAAAACAGTGATTCAGTATGGCATTGAGTTAAATCATTGCAAACTCTTTTACTTCTCAAAATATGTTCGGTGAAATATGTTTGCAGAAATACCCAGTAACCTCATACAGTACACACAACTGGATTTAAAGACATTTAAGTTTTATATTTTGGTGTAAGAAACATCCAGTGAATAAATCTCTTAAGTTCCTTCTTACATAAATTTAGAGATGTGGTGTAAAAAGGTCAGTGTACATCAGTCTGCTCAGATGTTTAAGAGGTTTACATAATGCATTATGCATGTATGTATACACTATTACATCTTACTACGGCTATTTCCACTATAAAAAAAATAGCTTCATCCACACTTCATCTCAGCTTGTTTTCTATAAAAACATCTTTCCCCTCAACCCTTTTTATGATCGGTCTCTTTAAAGAACCAGACACTGTGGGTAATGCATCTGCATCATAATTAGATGCAAGTACCTGAAGCCTCGTGTTTGATGCCACGACCAAACCATTCCTCAAAATGGAGTGCCAGTTTTCTATGTGTGATCCACTGAAAGAGAGAGGGAGAAAGAGCCAGTCAGTTTGTCTTTTTAAAACTGGAAAATCAACAACCAGTGTTCTCAAGTCAGCAAGAGACTTCACGCCTGTACAGCTGTGGCTTTAATTAGACTTGTGCAAAAGACAGATTTGAATTCTATGACTTGCTTGCTGCACAGTTGAAAAACAACTGAACTAGTTAAGACAGCTGGAACTGGATTCCTTTTATTGTGACATTGAAATGTACTTCCAAATTTAGAATATTTATTATTAGTGGACATAATCACAATGCCATAAAACATTTGAAGTAAGAAATGATTGCTTTTCTGTTATGTCTTGCAGTGCAAACCAGGCTTGTGGCATCTACATTTGTTCAGCACACCCACAGACCATTCACAGACTGCCTGATTCACACTGCACACAAAACTGCCAAGAGCTTGCCAAAATGGCAAGAATGGACAGATACTGTAATATACTTGGGGACCAGATAAAACACATTTTCCTTGTCTTGAATCATGAATTTGTAATGATGTGGGTCAGATTTGAAGATTCTTAGGTAAATGCTGTATTGGGTGTTTAAAATGGAACTCACTGGAAAGCAAAGGTACTCCCAAAGAGGACTTTGGCAGCTCTAAAGTTGGATTCTTTGGCTGGTGGACTGCTGAGCAGGAGGAACTGATGGGGTGTGTGCATGAACTTCAGTTGCTGTTGTGAGAAAAACAAGATGCAAGAGCATACACTTGAAACGTTAAGCCTTAATCATTTTCTCTGCTTGAAACTGAGATATTGAAAAGTTCGTCTGAATTTAAAACTTTTCAAATGGTTTCTAAATGAGTCATGGTTCTCTCTTAGGGAGGTGATGGCAGTTAGTCTAACCTAGGGATGGGTAAACTTCCCAAAAAGATGATATTGAGATCTTATCGCACAAAACCACGATCTACCAATTTTGAGATGCATTAATGAGAATATCCAGACTGGAACGAGCCTATCTGTTTGAACGACACAGTATTGCATTAAACAAACAAAATGAACATTAAAGCCCGAGTTAAACTTTAAAACACTGCATCACTAGCTATGTTTCCATCCACCTATTTTTATGCGCATTTTGGAATATCGCATTTTAAAAAATGCTGGATGGAAACGCCAAGATGCGCATAAATTCTAAAAATACGCATAAAAAAACTTATGTGCACATTTGAGTAGGATAAACTTTTTATCCGATAAGAAAAAACGTGCATAAACTACGATGGAAACACATTTACTGAATAAATTCCTCCATGTGCATTGAAAAAGTCATGTGACTTTGAGCTATGAGACGGGATAACTTGACTAGCAGCGGACCGATCTCGATCACAGCATCCATATGTTGTTATGGTCATTCTGAAATGCCTGAGCAAAGTCTGTCGTCAAAGTATTTCTCTATAATTGTCTTACACGACTGCGTTCCCAAACGGCTCGCTCTGAGGCGCAAGTAATTTATCATATATGAAAATTCTTATATTCAGTGGCTTCTCCTAGTTTTCTTAGTGATATTTAGTACCAGTTTGCAGGAAGTGAGGATTTTGTTCTCTTTGACTCGTTGGATGGAAATGGTGCTTTATTCGCAAATGTTTTATGCAATATTCCAGTTTTGCGCATACGTTTAATTCGAATCTTTGGATGGAAACATAGCTACTGTATGAAACAAATATACACTGATTCATATTAATATTATACAGTGATCTAGTCAAGAGCAGCGAGTGATTTTCTGTCTTTTGTTCTTTGATTAACATTTATGACAGACAGGAGAAGGTTTATTAGGATGCTGTCTCTTTAAGGTAGAATGTACAGATCTAAACAGGCTCTTTCCCAGTCAATGTGCTCTTTTTAAAATAAAGCATGTCCCACAGTAGACTGCATTTTATGACAGTCACACTACATAATTGGACTGATTTGGAAGTTGAAAAACCTGACACTAAAATTTGATTTATTCCACTACTACTGCTAGCTCACTTTGATTAGTTTTTTTTAAATATGTCACCACACATAAAAGACACATGATAGAGATGTGTGATATCATTTGACCAGCCACAGTCATCTACTAGTAGGCAGTCATTGCTGTAGTTTTAACATTATTATGAGGACATAAAAGATCATGATCTCTACGATTTCCTTGAAAAGTTGAAAAGTTCCTTGAAAAATCTTCAAGATTGATCACCCCAAGTCTAACCCTGATCATCTTAATCTAGATCCCAGAAATGTGCACATTCTTATGGCATTTGATAGCAGAAATATTCAAGGACATCATTACAAACGCTTAATAAAATAGATACAAGACTTACTCTAGTAACAGGAAGCTTCACTATGTGTGATCTGTTACTGGAAATCACCCTGTAAAGAAAATGGATTTATGAATCACGTCATATTCCCCATTAGGTTTGAAACCTTCTACTGCAGGACTATAGATGTATTTCAATAAATGAGTAATAGCTAATATCATAAAGATGGATGTACACACTCTCCAAGACCATGTAATCGGAGCTGTTAGGAGAGCTCACCATCACATTTACACATCGTTAAAATGCAGGAGTGGAGTAGATAATGACTGAAATGTCATTCTGTCATACCACTGCAGCATTGGGTGAGCCAGGGGATCATGCTTGTCCATTTGTTTCTTTATCTCCAGGTATGGAGCCTGTGCAGAAGACATGTCAACGGTCAACATGTTATTGCATTCTGTCAAGGCTTATAAATTAGGTATAAAGCATTGGATGATTTCTCTCAAGTCGTATGCTACACATGATATAGGGATTGTAAACAACTAGGGCTGTCCATTTAATGCAATTTATTATTATACTTTTATATATGATTCATTTATGAAATATTACATTAGATTAAATAGTATAGTAATAAATCAAATTATTTTATTTTAATTGACTGATGGCCTTCAAAACAATATAACAATCACAGAAAAAAAAACATGCTCTTGTTGTAAAATTCTACTTGATACCTGGGTCATTTCTCTGAAAGATGCGATACTGTCAAGTGCTCTCATCACTCGGTCATAGTCCTTTTTCTGAAGAAGAACTCAAACAATCAATGTAATATTCCTTTCTGAATAGCAGGGTTACACTAAAGAGACAGGTCAAGCTAAAGTTAAATGCTCTTAGTGTTTTAAGTACCCTGGGGTTGAAGGCAAGTGCTTGTGAGTCATTGGGATCCACCACAGAGGGATATGGCTCAAAAATGACAACTTTCCTCGGAGACTCCAGTGCAGATCGGCACATGGAGACCAGTAGGTCTACTACCTGTAATCACAAACAGAAATTGTAAGCTATTTGGTTAGAAACATTTGTGCAGAATGACTATATGAGTGCTTACAGTCAAGTATGTCTATTTTGGTTGTTTGTTTGTGTACCTGAGCACCAGTGGCAATCTCATCAGCAGCTTCATTCATGACCCCTAACGTCTGGAAGGCGAATACACATAACTCTCTCTCACACACTGTGGGCTATAGGACACATATAAACAAGATCATTAGAAGTGAAATGTTATTAGTAATCCAGAATTAATCCAAAGAATTCACATCATCTATCAATCCAAGATTGCTAGTAGAGCAAACAGACTCACTCTGAGCATTGGTCCATTTTGGAACACGTGAGGTTCATCGCAGACCACACAGAACTCATTCAGTACAGGGATACGCTGCTCTGCATACTCCATAGTCTGCAATTACACATCAAGTCAACACATACAGCATCCGTTCAGTAACATTTCTTCCCTCTATAATAGTAATACAACATCAGCAGCTGCCAGAAGAGCTCCACCAAATCCCTAATACAAATTAAAAGGACAGTTCACTGAAAAAGAATATATTTTCATCATGTTTGAAACAATTGAAAGGAATGTTTCCTGAAATGTTCCTTGCACATTCAGTTTTGGTCATAAGAATACTAATGACTGGAGAATGTCAACTACTGCAACCAATCACATGCCCTCAAGCTCAGTTTGCTTCAGGAAAGGATTTTGCATGTATTTGCAAGTAAAAGAGTTGTATTAATCAGACCCCAAATACTGTTTGATTAATGAATTAACTTAAGGCAAAGGGGGAAGTGTAGATTTTTTTTTTTTTTTTTACCTGAACAAGGAAACCTCTGTCTCTGACTGGAATGGATTTGGCTCCGATGTTTGGCTACTCGAGAAAACAGAAAAAATATATATATATATTTGAACTCTAACCTCTAAATTCCAAACCAAATTCACAAGTCAAAATACACAAAGTTGTTTTCAATGCCTCAAGCCAAAAATTACACTTGTGGGAAACAACCTGTTAAACAACCTGTTAAACTCTCTCATCTCTGCCTGGTTGGAGAAATTAACTGTGAAATTGTTCACTTTTATTTTTACAGTAAATACATTTTTTAAAGGGCACCTATTATGCAAAATTCACTTTTATATGTTGTTTGAACATAAATGTGTGGTGGCAGTATGTGTACACAACCACCCTATAATGATAAAAATCCACCCGCTCCTATTTTTTAATCCCCATAAATCATAAGCAGTGTCTCAGATCAAGCCATTCACAGAATGTGTGCGCTCAGAAAACCATATATGTGACCCTGGACCACAAAACCAGTCATAAGGGTGTTCTTAGCAATGCATATTACTAATAAAAAATTAAGTTTTGATATATTTACGGTAGAAAATTTATAAAATATCTTCATGGAACATGATCTTTACTTAATGTCCAAATGATTTTTGGCATAAAAGAAAAATCGATAATTTTGACCCATACAATGTTTTTTTGGCTATTGCTAAAAATATACCCAAGCGACTTAAGACTGGTTTTGTGGTCCAGAGTCACATATCAGACATTTAAACTATATCAGGCTTTAAAACGCATGACTTCAGCACGATAGACATAAAAACCAAACAGATGTTTTTTGGCAGATTATCTGAGATAGAAGCTGTGAAGGCACCCTATTCTATAAAAGGGGGCGGGAAGTAGCAGCTCATTTGCATGTAAAGATACATGCACGAAAACAGTGTGTTTCTGCTTCCACTCAAAATGGGCATTTTCAAAATGATATAATAAATGATCTGTGGGGTATTTTTAGCTGAATCTTCACAGACACATTCTGGGGACACCTGAGACTTATATTACAGCTTGTAACAAGGGGCATAATAGGTGCCTTTTAAATAATACTTTCATATCCAAAACACACAATCAAGTGTCTAATTTATTATGTAATCTCAAGAAACTATTTTCATACGACAAAATCCCAAGCAGCTTCTGGGAAACATCCTTACCTGAGGTGTGGAAGAGAGAGATGGGGCCAAGATGCCGATTAGCCCTGAGGTAAGGGAGAGGCGTCTGCTCTCTGTGACATGCTCTTTAAAGATGTCGCTTTTGCCCATCTTGGTGCTGCTGGAGTAGGACCTGCTGAGCAGACGGTGGTGGTGCTTCAGGCCATCCAGCTCTTCAGTCCGCACGCTGCCCGAGCAGGAGCGGCCCAGGAGCCGGTGGGGCTTCAAAGCACCGCCATCGCTACTGCCAGCAGCGTGTTCACAGCGAGGCTCTGCCACGCTCGACCGCGGCGACAGTTTATGAGGCCGCAGCGGAGGGCAGTCCTCCGGTTTAACAGCGGTCGAGCAGGGCCTCGACAGCAGCCGGTGGGGTTGCTTGAGGGGCTGATGTTGCTCCATCCGCGGGTCACTAGAGAGGGAATGGCCCAGGAGCTTGTGCGACTTGCCGACGCAGCCGTCCATTTCTGGCTTCACCGTGCCGGAGCATGTTCGCCGTAACAGACGGTGGGATTTCGACATGCCATCCTTCTCAGGTTTGAGCTTCTTTTTGCTCTTCACACAGCCAGGAGGAGGGTAGCTGGGGGATCTGAGTTTGCACAAGCACAGCACATTAATCAAACAACATGAATTAAGGAACGCAGAAAGAAGTTGTGCAATTACGCTTGTGCAACTCCTGCACATTTCAGAATGCTTCATTGGCTGATTCACACCATTTCATTTTTCATGTTGAGGTCTGCATAGTTCGCAGTGGAAATGCGTGTTTTTTTGCAATAATGAATTACAGTAGGTTGTGCCAAGGTTAATGAGATACAAAGCATTAAGCATTGTTGACAAATTGCTTCACCGTTTTTTCTGCATCTTAAATTTCATTTCTGGATCATTTTATTATTCATTTAAAAAGAACACACACACACACACACAGGCAAGACATTCAGGTAAGATTTCCTCTTTCTGGTTTTAAAACACCAAACCCAAAGTCAATTTCATCAGGGAGTCTTGGAGTCTTTCCAATGAAGTGAAGCATCAGATTTGTGTCAGCAGTTCCAACAGTTTGATAACCGACCAATGACTCATCATAGGGTCATTCATTAGAATATATCAGCTCTTAACATCTCAGACTCTCCAGTTGGTCTAATAAACTCATGAAGGCCATGAAGCTAGCACACTTGTTAACATAAAAGTAAATGCTGGTCTTGAAGACATAAGTTTAGCCTAATCACACCAAATGTGAAATGTATGGGGGGAAAAATGATCACCAAATTTACTCATATACTGTATATGCTGATTGGCAGACAAATTTACTCCAGTAAAACAGAGGACAGAAAACATCTTTATCTATAGATGGTTATTCAAAAGAAGCCTTATATTGGCATTACAATTACTTTTTGCAAGACACATTTTTCTAAAATGTCATAATTGTAGAAACCCAGTCAAACAGATGAACCACAGAAGAGCACACAAACAAGTTTAAGAGTAAGGTTAAGACTGGTAAAAACTTATTCAGAGAATAATGATTCAATGTTTGAATGGTGATTCAATGATTCAATGTTTTGAACTGTTCTGTAATGGCATGCACAAATCAATAATAGCAATAAGTAAGAACAGAAAAAAAATTATAGAAAGAGTTGAAGCGTTTTAATGTGAATTGTTAGTTAAATATGTTACCATTCACCAGAAGCAACCAATTTTCTTGGTGAACATTTCTTTGGTCCTGGGTATAAAGAGTTACAAAGGGGGATATAAAACTCAGGACTAGGGTTGGCCTGTATCTGATAAACTGTCCAGTACTGGTGTAGCGGAGTGATTTTGTTTCTTACCTGCGTAGAGTTGAAAAAATGTGCAGGGGAGACTTCACCTTCTTCTCGTCTGTATTTTGGGGGGGGGGGGAATAGATACAGTTTCAGGCTTGGTGACATTCCATCTTTGACACAATAAATCCTGCTAGTGTAATTATTCTTTATTCACAGCAGCTTTTAAAATACATACTCATTAAGACTAGAAAATTGCTAGAATATATTACTCAGAATATGTTGTTGACAGTAAAGCACAAAGCTTTTAGGATTCGAAGGGGAATTCACAACAAATTTAGACATGATGAAGCAGTTCACTTTGTTTATACAGCCGGCTTACAAAACATTCTCCTTTAAAGTTGACATGAATAGTCATTTGCACCCTATTTTAAATGGGTTGGAAGGGAAAATAAGACAGGACTGTTTTTATCTATCAGCAAATACCTGAGTGAAATTAGACTGAATGCAAATTTGCTAACAAAATATCAATATTTGGCTACTGGTTAGCATGTGGCCCTAAATGACGTAGGAAGGATGCAGTTTGATGCTCCAGCTCTGTTGCTGTGCTTCACTCAAAGCATTTATTTCTCATAAAACCATTGTGATGAGTTTGTTGCGTTGCTCTGGGCTAACTGTTACCATGGTTACACCTCACTCCCAAATGCAGTCGCTGTGTCTCAAAAGTAAAAGGTTTGAGGAAATAATAATCCCCTTTGATCTGTCAAGAGGAAACAGCTTACATACAGCCGATAAACACACACTCATGTTCAGACACATGTAAACACACAAAATTACATATTTACTACGGTAAAAGAAAATCAGAGCAACTTCAAGGAATTATTTAAGATGTGTTATGCTGTTTACTGAAAATGTTGTGCAATAACCTAAAAGCAGTTTTGCTTTTTCATTAAAATCATGTTAAATGAATAGGCAAAACCACTTAGTGGGACATGTCCTGGAATTATTAAAGGGAACCTCAGTGACCCCACTCATAGAGACTTCAGCAAAACCAGCCCAGGTCATTTTTCAAGCAGAACGCTGAATAAATACTCAAAATAGTTTTCCATCCATGACTCACAGCAATCGCATCACACAGATCACACACTAGACCGAATATAAAACACACTTCTGCTGCTATGAATAGTCTTTTATGCTGTTCTTTCATTTGACTGTCTGCTGTTATCAAAAGCAGCTTGACAAGATAAACTTTCAAGGACAAAGCTTTTAATAGCTGTCGTCGCATGAAACACCATTCAGATTGCCAGATTTTGCGGGGTGAATCATGTTCTTGTTGACAATCTGTCATGAGTTCTTTTCATCTGAGTTAAGCACATACAAGAGCATGTACATTTTTTGCTGTTGTCCACAGCATTCTTAAAAGCAGCAGTTTCAAATTTGTTATTTCTTGCTATAAATTTGCTCCAACGTTGATTGCAGCCTCTCTGTAAAAACACAGCAATCATTACACCATTACAGGCCTGTAATCAAACTGAAACCGCTCAGACTCTCACAGACCGTCCTTCAGTTGATCACAGAGCATTTCCCCAAATGACAGATTGGAGAACTGGCCACCTGAGTGTTATGGGACCTGGCTCAGGCAGAGAACGTCCTTGAGTGGGTTAACAGTGCCAGTAAAGAATGATTGCTCAATGTGTCGTTTCCCATAAAACACTTATCTGGTGGTGGGGGATTTCAGAAGTTAGTCACAATTTCAATACTTTTTTTCTGAGCTGATGAAATGTTTGCACTTTTACTATTGAATGTGTTTCATTTTGTGTGAAAAAACAGTTTCATTTGCAAAAGTTTCAAAATGTTCTCACATCAACATCAAGAAAAATGAATGGTCAGATACCTGAGAGATACTGCATGATGGCCATATAAGTCCCTCACGGCTGCCAAATCAGCCTCCAACTGGGGGTGTTTGTGAAGCTCTCCATCATAATTTACCTGCCCGCATAAACACACAGGTCAAAGGGTTGATAAACAGGAGCACCAGTTCAAAAATCAAGAAACAAAGGGACAGCTGTTCAACCACTTCTCCGCTCATGATTGTTTCTACCTTGAGGCCTCAGAGGTGCATTTTTACTGGCTACACAATGAGCTTTTAATCAGTACAAGATCCAGAGCACTTTAAACAAGCTTCCAGACATTAATCATGGTCATTTTAACCTGATGTCTCTCCACTCTTTTAACAATTAATATATGTCATACACTTTCAGGGCTCGACAATAAGGACTGCCCAATGACCCGTGGTCAGTGTTAAAGACGCTCAAGACTGATGACAGATTTGTCACTGGCCCGGTTAGGCCAATGCTGCGTCGTCACAAAAGTTTATCATTTGCACTTGTTTTTAACCGTTGCCAATTTAAACATTCACGCAATTTCAAAGGACAACTGGAATGTTGCACTGTTTTCTTTCGCATGAAAAGACAAAAACATACAAAATTATGTCAAGTTTACTAATTACTGTCTTAGCCAGTATCCTCAAAAACACATTTGGTTGTCTTAAGTAAAGCCAACAGTCAAAAAAGAAATTGGATGTATATCATTATATTGAGTCCGTGCCTTATTGACAGCAGCCTAACCTACTGCTGTCTGTATCATTAAAGGGTTAGTTCACCCAAAAATGAAAATTCTGTCATTAACGGTTGAACCACTGATGTCACATGGATTATTTTACAGATCTCCTTGCTACGTTTCTGGACTTGGGAACATTTCAGTTGTATTGCTGTCTATGCAGGGTCAGACAGCTTTCATATTCCATCAAAAATATCTTAAATTGTGTTCGAAGATGAACGAAGGTCTTACGGGTTTGAAACGACATGAGGGTGAGTAATTAATGACAGAATGTTCATTTTTGGGTGAACTATCCCTTTAATGTCAATCAAACAGCAATAGACGGAGAAATTCACTCACTACTCTTAACTGAATAACTTTTGTAGCTTTAACTAGGATAAATCTATATTTAATTTATTAATAAAGACTATGCAATGTTATTTCACATCTGATTATACATTTTCTGTACCATACTACTGTTAGACCTACCTGAAAACATTTTTAAGCACTGTTTAATTTGTATTTTTGTTCTATTGCATTTATTTGCGTCATTGCTTCTAATTTGTTCATTTGTTCTTAATGACTGTTCACTTGTCTTTAATGTTTGAAGAACCTTAAATTTGTTAGGCTAGTAGTTTTTGAAATTGAAATGACAAATGTTGAAATTTTGTATTTATTAGAATACAAGGTCAGATGAGTCTAACTAACTATTTTATTTTTTGTGGTAGGGCCAATTAAAATTTTGGCAGGGCAAGTAAAAACTTGAACTACCACTCCAAAAGGGCCAGTAGAAAAAATCCTTAGTGTTAAGCCCTGATTTTAGATTACTCTATTATAAGATCAGTCTCATAGACTGTGTCCAAAACAAACTACCTGGGTTTCTTGTGAAAGTTAATTTGCCATACCAGCATCTTCAGACTATTTGATTTTATCATTGACTGATTTTCTTTTCTTTGATCCTTTGATTCTAATGCTGAGCTGATTAAAAGACACAGAGATGTTGTGTTTTAGAAGGATGCAGTGACTATATTTCTCAAGAGAGCCAAGAGTAATCATAACACTCATACAAACCTAGTAGGTTTTTGCCTACTATAATAATTTGCCTACTATAATAACCTAATAATTGCTGCAAGAAGTTAAAAGAAAAGTTGAATTTGAACAGGCAAAATATGAATCACAGATGTCCTTAACTACTACTGAGTAAGTGAAGTATTTTTATTTGTTTTATTTAAACACTGAACTGTTTGTATGAGCCTCTAGACTTGCCCATCACAGCAACACTGGCTCAACCAGTTTGAGCATTAGTTCGGGACAGGACTATCTGTTTGAAAGACAGAGGTAATGTGCGATTATTTAAATTTAATCAGTCATGTTTGCAGATCCATTTGGTGACACTAGTGGCATGGAAGTTACAAACTGTTTCTTAATATGGCCTATTACGTACATTGATCACGCTTTCGTCAATGTAAACGATGGATGTAGTTTGGTCTTTTTAGATATTCAGTACAACAGATATCAAGAAAATTCACCAGCTGTTCGGAAATTCAGAGAGAATCTGCCAGCATGTGGCATGGAAGAGTCTCCCGAAGGCTTTGAGACCATCAAAACAGCAAAGGATTGTAAAGCTGCCACATTACAGTCAGCAAGAGCCAGTGAGCATTCACAGCATGGCACAGGCATTAGGGTATGAATCTTCATTGCCTTTGGACTGGTCCTCACAGAGCACACAAATCTCGCTCACTCACTCACTCCAGCTTTATGGATTTGCTCCAGTGGATGGTCACATGATTAATTTAAGCACAGTCCATGTGTGCAAACATTCATTTTCAGGATGGAAACCTTCTCAGAAGAGTGAGGGACTAATCATTCAAAGTTAAGAGAGTTATAAAGTTATGTTATATGAGCTGCAAACTACTTTAAGTAAATTTACCATGAAATGAAAAGTCTGAAGCCCCAAGTGCTGTGGGTTTGAAGCTGGTTTTATACCTGTAAGACCTTAGGAAGTTTAGTTGCAGTGACCATGTGAGGCAGGACCTTGTTTAGCAAACTCCAAGTCTGAAACTTTCACTATTTTCCCTATAACTAAAGATCACATTTTCACATGCTTCGAAATTTAACTCTGCACCAATAAGTGTCATAACATAGCCATTTAATATTATTGTTCATTCTCATTGTTGTGAGAGAATTCAATAAGAATGATTTGTGTCTGTTGATAGCACACTACAAAAATTGTAGTATCAATTTTATGCATCTTTGCTGAATAAAAGTATTAATTTCTTTCCTCCACAACATTGAACAGTAATATAAAAAGAAGGCATGTTTGCACTGACAATTATGACAACAATTTAACTGGAATACTCACAGCTCAGTTCGTGATTTCAACACATTTAGGCTATTACTCGGTTAATATGGATTGTAGGTGGTTAGTCAATAAGACTGAACAGATTACACAGACTGAAATGTTATGTAAATTAATAGCGTAGTGTAGATATAATAATATAGTAGTGTAGTGACTCAGCTGAACTTACCTGTCCAACATAGTAGAAAACACTGAACTGTTTGTATGAGCCTCTAGACTTGCCCATCACAGCAACACTGGCTCAACCAGTTTGAGCATTAGTTCGGGACAGGACTATCTGTTTGAAAGACAGAGGTAATGTGCGATTATTTAAATTTAATCAGTCATGTTTGCAGATCCATTTGGTGACACTAGTGGCATGGAAGTTACAAACTGTTTCTTAATATGGCCTATTACGTACATTGATCACGCTTTCGTCAATGTAAACGATGGATGTAGTTTGGTCTTTTTAGATATTCAGTACAACAGATATCAAGAAAATTCACCAGCTGTTCGGAAATTCAGAGAGAATCTGCCAGCATGTGGCATGGAAGAGTCTCCCGAAGGCTTTGAGACCATCAAAACAGCAAAGGATTGTAAAGCTGCCACATTACAGTCAGCAAGAGCCAGTGAGCATTCACAGCATGGCACAGGCATTAGGGTATGAATCTTCATTGCCTTTGGACTGGTCCTCACAGAGCACACAAATCTCGCTCACTCACTCACTCCAGCTTTATGGATTTGCTCCAGTGGATGGTCACATGATTAATTTAAGCACAATCCATGTGTGCAAACATTCATTTTCAGGATGGAAACCTTCTCAGAAGAGTGAGGGACTAATCATTAAAAGTTAAGAGAGTTATAAAGTTATGTTATATGAGCTGCAAACTACTTTAAGTAAATTTACCATGAAATGAAAAGTCTGAAGCCCCAAGTGCTGTGGGTTTGAAGCTGGTTTTATACCTGTAAGACCTTAGGAAGTTTAGTTGCAGTGACCATGTGAGGCAGGACCTTGTTTAGCAAACTCCAAGTCTGAAACTTTCACTATTTTCCCTATAACTAAAGATCACATTTTCACATGCTTCGAAATTTAACTCTGCACCAATAAGTGTCATAACATAGCCATTTAATATTATTGTTCATTCTCATTGTTGTGAGAGAATTCAATAAGAATGATTTGTGTCTGTTGATAGCACACTACAAAAATTGTAGTATCAATTTTATGCATCTTTGCTGAATAAAAGTATTAATTTCTTTCCTCCACAACATTGAACAGTAATATAAAAAGAAGGCATGTTTGCACTGACAATTATGACAACAATTTAACTGGAATACTCACAGCTCAGTTCGTGATTTCAACACATTTAGGCTATTACTCGGTTAATATGGATTGTAGGTGGTTAGTCAATAAGACTGAACAGATTACACAGACTGAAATGTTATGTAAATTAATAGCGTAGTGTAGATATAATAATATAGTAGTGTAGTGACTCAGCTGAACTTACCTGTCCAACATAGTAGAACTCCTCTGAATCATTGTCACCCTCTGAATCCTCCTCTATAGCATAATGGCACTGTAGAGGTTTCAAAATCAAGGATGAACTTTAGTCACAGTAAAAGTGATTCACTGCCATACCTGACATTTGTAAATAAAAGACATTTTATGATAAAAGCAAAAAATATGGTCTAATTTCTTACCACGTTTTTGTCGGTTTGAAGTTTTGATTTAATAGACAGACAGCTGGTGGCATCGTTATTTATGCGTATTTCTAAAGACAGAGTAGAGTGAAAGCACAGATGCGTGAGGATGACATGATATTGTGAACAGAGAATTTCAGATTTAGATCATAACTGGCATAACTCCTGTAACAGGCCTGGTCATGTCCTGAATATTCCAAACTTTCTAACCATTGTTTTTTATTGGCCTTATGTGTGTATGATGACAGCAATACAATTGTTTCAACTAAAACACTGCAGGTCTTACTACAAGATTAGTTTTTAATGTTAACTCCACTACAACTACCAAAGAAGTGGTACTTGCATTTCTCAACACCTCAGATTAAAAATAGATTGTTTATGCAGAGGTCTGAGTCAGAAAACCTTTACAACTGCAAAAAGTGTGCACATCCAAGATCCATCAGTAGTATGTACACAGGATCATTAGTTGTAATGTACTGTGCTGGAAAATGTCAAGGCTTTTTTTATTAAATGTGTGGATTGGAAAAATATTAGGTGTGCATGACAAGCATCTATTAAGCATTAAACTAACTGCTGGGGGAAATTAGTGAAGATCTCTTCTGTTTTGCCACTTTGTTTTGGCACATGTCTTGGCCGGTTCTAAAAAAGGCGCAGAAGAAATGCAGTACGATTCCAGGATAATTTATTTCCAGGATTACTGCCAGTGTAATCAAAGAGCTCCAAAAACAGAGAAAGACTGGCTAACACTATGTGAATACTGCAATAATAGGATCTTTAGATGATTATCCTACACAAAAAAAAGTACTAAAATGTACCACTGCATTACCATGTTCTTTTTTTAGGGAATACGTTATCATTTGACAGACTGGGGACAATCTGATTTTTTCTTTTTTATTCAGCAATGAAGCATTATTATATTAAAATAAGAAATATTAAAATATAAAACAGATGTCAATTAAAATAGAAAACACAAATTTGCAATAATATTTTACATTATTACTGTTTTTACTGTACTTTGATCAAATAAATGTAGCCTGCGTGAGCAAAAGAAACATTTTCAGAAAAAAATCTCATCAACAACAAACTTTAAAAAGGTAGTGTTTGTGTACCTATATCATGGTTATATTTGAGGTACCTTTGAGTATAATCTAAATGCTGCATTTACATGAACATGGTATTCATTCAGTACCATGTGCTTCCACCACAGTACTTTTTTTTTTTTTACTGACCATCATTTAAAAAAAAAAAAATCTGAAAAAGTATTGTTCAACCGTTCAGCCAACTCAATGAAATCCGATCGTGTAGGTGTTGGAATAATGGTAGTTTAGGGTTGGAGCAAAAATATTCAGCTGACAGGGCCTTGACCAAATTTTAAAATGACTGAAATACTCCCGAAGTACACTTTGGATCTGGAAGGCTGCTGGTTTCCTTTTCCCTTAGGCGTGACTTTAAAATATCTGATCATTCACCTGATTCATTGGTTTTCTTAAGCCGCAGCTCTTTTATGATTAGATAGTAACGATTCTTACCTGTTGCAATTCTGTGGAAAATCACTGGTATTGGATCCCTGGTGACTAACACTTCATCATTGTTTTCAGAGTTAGACACATATGTGTTATCTGAAAAGACAAAGACAAGCAGGTGCTATTAAAGCACCTAGAAAAGTAAACCTGAAGAAGATCTAACAGTGTAATCAAGCCTGGCAAGTCAAGTGGTAACCAAAACCAGTGACTTGCAACTTATACATAATAAATAGAAACACTCCAAATGAGAGTGAAGAGAGATATGTGCTAATTCTACAGTTTCTGGACAATTCACTATTTTCAGGTTAACACATCCCATGGCATTCTTTGGCAAAGTTGTCTAAATCTGTGCCAAGCAAATTCCTCATTCTTATGCAAAGCTGACTGTCTGTCACTATGCTGTGATTCAGGCTACACTAAGTCCTGCAAAAAGGAGGTCTGCATCTTCTAGATTTAGATTTAAGGGACAACTCTTGTGTGTTTAATCAAAGCATTAAAGTAAATTTTAGGCTTAGAGCAACACCACAGCTTCACAACAAAATGCAATTTTAATGTGGGTATGTTTCGAGGGGGATAAATATTGAACTTCTGTGTACCATTTAAAAACAAATCTCACTAAGCAAAGACAAACTGAGTGCACTGGGCAACTACTGAAAACCAGCTACCTAAGAGCAAAAATCCAGCGTTCACACTATACCCTTAAAACCCACTGAGCTTCAATATTGTGTTGTCACTTCATGGACCAAAAGAGAATGAAAACAAACACTGTCATTCACTTTAATGTATTGCGCCGTTATAATTACGTGACAGAAAAGATACAATTGGAAAGATTTAAGAGTATGAATCAACTGTGGTACAGCTGAGAATGATATTCTTATGATACAGCTTAGCCGTATTAGTACTGGTTTATAAGAATCAGCTGTCACTTTACACTGTAGACCCTGCATCATCTTTCCTATCAGGTCAGGTACGTAAATATGGAATAAATGACATTATGAACTATATTTTTATATTTTAACAGAAAAACTGGACACCCACAGAGCTAACACTGTGGGTGCTTGGCAGGGTATTGTTATGCATTTGCTTATGTGTTCTGAATGGTTTTTAAAACATCTCTATGTGGATGCTACTAGAGTGTTCTGAATGGTTCCTCCCTGGTCCATATAAAGTCCACCCTCAACTCTATATGATATTCTAGTCCCAAGATATGGCCTGTGTCCTGTCGTCAATAAAAGTCATATGGCATTTTTTGCTGGTTTTATCACTGATTAGCTGAATCCAATTGTTCTGAACCATAACATTACCCCCAATTTGAATAATCATTCATGTCCTTAGCACAAACTTAAGAGTTAAGGCTTTTTCGAAACTCATAATTAAGTAGTAGGACTAGTGTTAAAAGACTATTGCTCCTTATTGTAACATGCAGAGGAGTAGTGAGAGTTTGGGTGTATGATCCATCCATTTATCAATTAATCCATCAATCTGTGTGTGCAATACCTGGATAATCATCAGAGACATGAACAGAGAAGGACACCCTAAAAAAGAAAACACAAATATTAACAGTAGTAGGGATACATGTAACACTGCAGTCCATTACACTGCTTCTCAGACACATTCATGCACATATGGTACCTGACACAAATGTCTCATTTCATCACACTGAATCAAAGCATATTTGAATATTATCATATCAAATATTGTGACAGCGCACTGCTGGAGCTACTGATGCTGGAGATGGTTTTTTTTTCTTCTTTTTGCACCTGTTTCAATCTTACTGTAATAAACTTTTCATTTAATCTACCCGACTAAGTACAGTACTGTCACAGACACTGCAAATAACTGAAAAATTAAAAAGTACAAAATCTGAGACCACCAGTAAAAATACTGCTTTTTAGCATTTTCTATATTATTCTATTTTTAGCATTTCTATTCTTTTTTTTCTCTCTTTTGATTTTTTTAAAGGGGTCATATGATGCAATTTCAAGTTTTCCTTTCTCTTTGGAGTGTTACAAGCTGTTCATGAATAGATAAGAACCCTAAAGTTGCAAAGACTAAAGTCTCAAACCCAAAGAGATATTCTTTATAAAAGTTAAGACTGGTCCATGCCCTCCTAAAACGCCTCGTTCAAACACGCCCCCATGTCTACGTCACGATGTGGGAAGATTTGCATAACGCCACCCAAATGTTCACGCAAAGAAAGAAGGCGTAACTTTATTGTTGCTGCCACCGCCGCCATGTTGTGAAGACGCTGTGTGTTTCGTTGCGAAAGCGAAAATACTTTGTTTGGTCTTCCAAGATGACACTACTAGAAATCAGTGGTTAAGTTGTATTTACAACACTGTTCCAGAACACTTCAACCCAAATATTCAGATGTGTGCAGCACATTTTATGAAGGACTGCTTTCTGATCCTGGGAGAGTAGACTACAATGCCGG